TTTCTTTTATTTTTTTTTATACTTGATGCAAATTTTACTTCAGATGCAGGTAAGTCGTGGATTTATTTCAATGTAACACATGCATTTTTTTTCATTTGAAGATAATGTGCATTTATATATTTTTTTATTTAACACGCCATACAGTTAACAATTCTAGGATTTTCTTTTACTTCTGTCACTTAATATTAATTCCGTTATATAATTATGATTAAAAAAATCTGGGGCTGTTATTGTACCAAAGGGTTAATCATCAGGTGTAATATGCTGGGGTTGCCAGTCTCCATATGTAATGCTCCCCCTCTACACATCTGCAACTCCGAACAGATGGAATGACTTTCCAAACAGCTTGTCTACATACTATACAGTATAGTTCGTGTTGTATTATTTCATTGAGTTTTGATACAGTTGCACCCTGCACAAAGGAAGTTTTGTTATATATATTACTTTAGAGAATCAGTGGAAATTAAATTAAAAGATTATCTAATTTTTTATGAAAATACCAATTTATCCCTCAAGGTGGACAATAAATAAAGGGACCATTAAAATATTTCACCGTTGTAGACATTGATCCATTAAACATTAAAATAAAAGCCGCCAATATTCTCCAATATTTGACAGATTCGACTTTTCTCGCTTTTAATGAAAAAGTTTGCAAATGAGAAAAGAAATTGATAATTAGCGAAGAAAAATAATAATTGGAAAGAAAACTGATAAGCATTAGGGGAATAATATTATGCATCAAGAATATTGGAACTGTTTCTATATTAAAAAAAAATCTTTGAGAAATATATTTTAGACTTTTGGCTGTTTCTTAACGACAATATAAATAAATCATAGTCTTGTTTTTGTGGTTATTGGCGATGAAGAGATTCAGCAACTGATTAGATTTGCATCTCAAGCCTTTGGCAGACTCCGAAACAGTGTCTTCAACTGTACTGAGCTGAAATTGTCTACAGAGTTACACATATATCGAACAGTGGTCCTCCCCACCCTGTTATATTGCAGCGAGACATGGGTCACTTACAGGAGGCACCTCAAGGCACTTGAAAACTTTAACCAACGTAGTCTACGTTCCACCCTCCGAGTTCGCTGGGAAGACATACGAGCAAATGCCAGTATTCTTGCTGACACCAACTGTAGGAGCATCAAAGCTACCATTTTCCATGAGCAACTACGCTGGACTGGCCATTTTACACGCATGGACGACAGTAGACTGCCAAAGCAGCTACTTTACAGTTACCTAACGAATAGTAAACGTAACGCTAACCGGCAAATGAAAACGCATAAGGATAGTCTTCAAGACAAACATTGAAGTGCCAAATTGACCCCCTCACGTGGGAGACGATTACTCCACACCGTAATGATTGGAGGAGCACCACACAAAAAGGTGTCAAATCTTTCCAATTAACCCGACTGCCAAACGAGGCAGACAAGCGCCAACGCCGGAAAGACGCTACCGCCCTTCTTCCCGCACTAGATGTAGCTCCACCTGTGCAACATCTGTGATCGACCCTGCCGGTCCCGTATCGGCCTCTTCAGTCACCTCAGAACTCACCAGCGTAGGTGACATCCTTATAACTCATATCATTGTATCATAGCTGGAGGATCGTCATACTCGATTCCGAGTGACAGCAAAGTAGTAGTAGTGGTAATAGTAGTAAAAGTAATAGTAATAATGAATAGTAATGATGTAATTATAGCCGTAATGGTAGTAATAGTAGTAGTAGTAGTAGTAATACAGAAATAGTAAATAGGGTAGACAAAGCAGCGGTGAGATACATAGATGATAAGGTAGAGAGAGAGAGAGAGAGCAAATCCATAATTAACCCCTTACCAACAATAACAACAGGTGTGCCTCAGGGGTCAGGTGAATCACTGAGGACCAGCTGGGGAGAGAGGAGCTCATTAGTCACTCACTCACCCTAAATACACCTGTTCTCTGTGACCAGTAGGCAAGGGTGTGGTGGTGGGATAAACCTTGTTAGTCTGGAGTCTGGTACTGGGTTAACAATGGTTGGGTTAAATTAGGTTAAGTTTTTGAAAGGGAAATGTTGGCAGAGTGTTGTTAGCAAGGACACATACACACACACACACACACACACTATTATTTGTTTATTTATTTGTATGAGAGTAATAGTATTTGCCGTGTTTGAGTTGTGTATATGGCGACGAACAAATATTTTACAAGTCTAAAAATGTATGTATTAATTGTTAATGAACAAACATTATATAATTTCAAAGCTATAATTAGTGATAATAAATGGAAGTGAATTCGTAATTATCGTGTGTATGTTGCCGACAATACACACTGCTGTACGTCAAGACCGGGAAATATAAACAACAGAAGGCTTTAGAGATCCCGAATATACAAAAAAAATGTGTTGACAAATGATCACGACAGAATTAGCCATAAATTGCTATTAAAACGAATTAAACACGATATTAAAGGTTTTGAGTTTTGTTCTAAATATTTACAATGTTTTTGTTCGCCATTGTTGTAGTTTTAGTAATATATCGTTGTTATTGACACATATAAAATAGGAATATAAAGATAATTGTAAATGTTTTGTGTTGGCCATTTAGAAATATATTGTTACTGGGATAATATGTCATGAGTGACAGGTAGCCAATAAGTAACTGAGGCTGTTGAACGTTTTGTTTACCTCTGCGAAAACCGTATTTGAGATTTCCATACGAAGCAGACCACAACAACCAACGTAACCTAAGTTAACAACCTAACTAAAACTAACCTAACCTAACTTAACATCCTAACTAAAGCTAACCTAACCTAACTTAAAATCCTAACTAAAGCTAACCTAACCTAACTTAAAATCCTAACTAAAACTAACCTAACCTAACTTAACATCCTAACTAAAGCTAACCTAACCTATTTTAACCTGCCTGTAACTAAAGCTAACCTAAACTACCCTAACTTAATTGAACAACTTAGCGAAATCAAAACTAACCTAATCTAAATAAACCTCACATAACCTAACCTAGGATAGTTGTGGTTAGGTTAGGTTAATTATTCTAAGCCTCGTAAATGATTCTCACAGTCGCACCATCAAATTTTAATTCAGTATATAACAAGACAAAACACTGTAGCAAATACTGTGTTGAAAGATAAACAGAAATAAGGCCGCGGAACAAGACTGAAAAACTTCAACATAATTCCTTTTTACAACCGACGTAAACATTGGAGGCCAGACACAGGGGAGGACAAGTGTAGTGTACGTACATGGCATGACAGTCACTCACTCCCAGACAACGTTCATGGCAACGTTTGGTGTTTACCTCGGCTGTTACCTGTGTGTCAGTGCGCCCACGGGAGTGCTCAAGAAACTGCTGTGTTTGTCGTGGGGCAGTGTGGCCGTGAGTGGTGATAATGGGTTTTTTTTTTTCTAGGAGGTAACTTTCGCGTATTATTATTATTATTATCATTATTATTATTATTATTATTATTATTATCATTATCATTATTATTATTATTATTATTATTATTATTATTATTATTATTGTTATTATTGTTATTGTTATTGTTGTTGTTGTTGTTGTTGTTGTCGTTGTCGTCGTCATATTTTTCAATTTTTTTCAGGTATATTCATTGCTGTTTAGTACTACTTCCTGCATACTTATTTACAGTTCATTAAAATAACAGTGATTTTTACCCCATAGGAATACTAGTAGTTACATTGACACTATATAATCCTCAAGATATATAATAAATTTCTCAAGATACATATATAGTCACACACACACACACACACACACACACACACACACACAGTCTGTCTCTATCTCTCTCTCCTCTTATTCAAAGTCGTTGATTCTCACTCACTGCTGTAACAGATATGCTCACAGTTCTGGTGCCCCCTACTACATACAACACAGCTTCGGAATATTTCCATACGGTTCACCTCTATCACTTAATTCGTTCCCTCTGCCACCCACGAGCAGCCCGGCCGTCCCCATAAAGCGCTCGACACCTGGTTCTCTGATCATACACAAACACGAGTTCTTTATGGATCTCTTCCTCAGTTCTGTAGAGTCTTTTCTTCACCCTCTACCTCACCCTCTCTCATCCCTCTCCTTATACCTCCCTCATTCCCTTCTTCTACCTCCCTTATCCCCCTTCTTATACTTCCCTTATCCCCTTCTTCCACCTCCCTTATCTCCTTCCTTTTACCTCCCTCATCCCCCCCTACCTTCCTTATCCCTTCCTTCTACCTCCCTTATCCCCCTTCTTCTACCTCCCTCATGTCCCTCGCGTTACCTCCCTCACCCCTTCTACCTCCCTCATCCCCTTCTTCTCTCTCCCTCATCCCCCTTCCTTCTACCTCCCTCATTCCCCTCCTACCTCCCTCACCCTCTCCTTCTTCGCCTTCCCTTCTCTAAATCCTTCCTCCCATTTCGGAAATATATATATATTTTTTTTAATAATTTCTTCCTCATTTTTTCAATTATATATGGAGCTCCAGTCCCTCTCACAAATTACACTAATCTAATCTAACCTAATTATACTGACCTGACCTGACCTAACCCAACCTAATGCAATCTGACCTGACCCAACCCAACGCAACCTTGCACAGATATTTTAGATAATGTACAGACTCAGCTCTTCTCACACAGTTAAGTAAATACTGCCACCTCTCTTGTTTATGGGGGTAGTAACCAACCCTCATGTGAATATATAAACGCCATGGTAGTATTGTCTATCAAGAGGGTAAGATTATCTCCCCCTAGTAAATCACAGTGTTAATAATAATATGTTTTCATTTTTTTTATATTGACTATTTATGTTTCTATTCTTGTAAGATATATTGTCAAGAGCTTCCACCCACCAGTAATTGTGTAGTATTATAACACAGAGATTGACATGGTGTATAATGTCTTCACTTTATATACAGTTAGTGACAAGTAATAATGGGGTAATTTCCTTGTTTATAATATACTATTTTTTTTAAACATTATTTGATATGAACACAAAAATTTCTTTTTGGTTAAAAGTTGTTGCCTTTGTTAGAAACTAAGGAAGCATTGGTACTGAAATATCCTGACACCTGAAGTAACCAAACACAGTTACTTAGACACAGTAAATATCACACACACACACACACACTTGTATATTTATTCAGCATCAGTATTGTATCACTCGAAAGAGGGATGGGAGAGGGTGGCTAAGCTCTGAAAACCTATGTGCTGGATTTGGTGCCCCCAGTCAATTAGTATGTTTTTAATATATGTGTCCCCTCGCCTAGTTGGTATTACCTGTCTTTGATACCTGGTGACCAATTAGCGGCCACTTTACAGGTAAGCCGGGGGTTGCGGGCTGGAACATAGTTGGAGTTTCATCCTGTGTTGTAAAGTATAAATAACAATTAGGGCTAGACGGCAGGTGTGTAGGTGCAGGTGTGTTTATATATAACGACTAACGTGAGTCTATACAAATTTATACAAAACATACGTATATATACTAGTGTAATCCATGCACACGTGACTACATATCTACACAATATACTGTAAAAAGTATTCCTACTACACAACACAATACATAATTGCCTTCACACCCATAAAACAAAAGCCTTCTATCATGGTCTGCTCTACCTCATGTCTCCATCTGTAGCTGTTGTATCTGTCACTCCCACAACTAAACTAATCCTACACTCTTTGACCTCTTAACACTCTGAAAATTAACAGCGTCCTCTCCTCCAAACTCTCAACCTCTCCTCCAAACACTCAAACACTCGGCTTAAATTATCATCTTTGGCGATTTCAATGTACACAGTACTCCCTGGCTCACCCACTCCCCTTGGACAAATACACAGGGATTCGAGGTAGAAAGCTCTTACATTATGATTGGTCTCACTCAACTAGTCACTGAACCAAACACGAATCCCTAACATAACAAATATTTAAACTTCTTTCCACGACACCTTCAGACCCTTCTACTTGTACTGTATCGTATCTGAAGGGTTCATCTGTTTATCTGTGTCGTGTTGGTCTCTTTCCTCCTGCCTCAAGTTCCCCCCTCCCCCCCACACACACACACATACTCTATTGTGTACCTGACTGCGATGGTTATGATAGGAAATTTTAACATGGGTCAAACCACTTCTCCTGACTCTGCTGACACTACTCACCATGACATAGAACTTTTCATTTTTCATTCTACTCTGACAGAGAAACCCGAGTCACCTCCCTCCCTGGTTCAACTTTTCACTGTTAAAAGAGCAATTGAGTACACACGAGCCTCCTGTAGACTGTAAACATCACTATCAACAAGTCCCCACCCCCTCCCCCTACCCCTCCCCTCCCTACCCCTCCCCCTCCCCGTCTCTCTGGACATTAGACAACTCCTTTCCCACAGCAACTTCTCTTAACCCACCCGTCCTAAGCCACCAAGAGCCATCACAGCACAAGATAAACCCTAACCATTGAAATTGTATGTTTACCTTCTAAAGAATTCAACCCTTAGTCTCCCTAGATCCAGGTAACAACATCTAAATACTTTTTCCAGTGTCATTTATCTTGTAATATCACCTAAATCCTATACCAGTCTAGTGTTTTATCCTATCTGGTTCCTTTATCAGTCTAATTTTTTTTTTCCTCTTTTACACCAAGACACAAAACAATGCCTCCAGCACCTGATGATGTCCCGCGCCTCATTGTTAACACCAGGTCGTTGTCTTCATGAACTGATACACGAATATTTTACGAGGTGTGGATTTTTATTTTTTATTTTTAATTCAGTGAGACTTAACTGAAGCACTGGCCAAGGAACTCATATTTGGGAATTCTCAGAGTCGCATAATAATTGAAACATTCCTCCTCCTCCTCCTCCTCCTGCTCCTGCTCCTCCTCCTCCTCCTCCTGCTGCCTCATAATGTTGACTTGATGAAGGCCGTGCGCTGCCCTCACTAATCCAGCCAAAAAAATGTATATCCTTAAAAAAAATAAAAAAAAATTGGTAAAAACAATAGTACCCGATTTAAAGGCTTTTGTATTTATAAGTATCTACAAAAAAGTTAACAGAAGACTTATACTTTTAATATTTCAATGCCATTTGTTTGGTGAACAAAAAAAAATCAGCTTTCAATTAAAATTCGAATATAAAAAGTTTCGATCCGCTCATCTTAACATTTTGTGTTTTAAATATAACCAATTTCTGTTTGGTTAAATGCCTCATCGACCACTTAGTAAAATCTGGACCAGAGAGAAACATTCACACATTAACCCTTCTCCTTCTTTCTCCTACACCTACTGCTCCTTATCACTCCACCCCCTTCTTCTCCACTCCTTCCCCTTCCCTTCCCCCCTTCCCCTGTCCCCTTCCCTCCTCTCTATTCTGTGTCCTCCTTATCTCTCGTCACCCCTCCCCTCTCTCTTTCCCTCTCTTCCTCTTCTCTTCTCCTCTCTCCCTTCACCTCTCCTTCTGCTCCACTCTCCCCTCTCTCTTCCATGTCCCTCTTTTACCCCCTTCCCAACTCCCTCTTCCACTTCTCTCCTCATTCTCTCTCTTCTCCCTACATCTCCTTGTCCTCCCCTCCCCACTTCTCTCTCCTCTCCCTCCATACTCTCCTCTCACTTCTCTCCCCTCTCCCTTCCCTCTCTCCTCTCTCTCCTCCCCTCTCTCTCCCCCTTCCCCTCCCCTCCCCTAGCCCTGGACCAGAGAATTAATTAAAGGAACAGAACACACTACACGCCTCCAGGGTGTTCTATCTACCACAAGAGAGAAGAAAATGCTAAGAAATTTCGTATCTTTACTACATTAGTGGTCTGAGGTGCAGCCCTGATCCTGCCTGTTGAGGGGGGAGGGAGGGGGGGAACGTAACTCGGTGGGGACGTTTGGGGTGGTGGAGGAAAATGGGGAGGGAGGAGAGTAGCTAGGTGGGAAGGTAGAGAGGATTAGGGAGTAAGATAAGAGAGAGAAGAGGTGAGAAAGTAGGGGGAGGAGGAGGGTGATGCTCATACAGTTATATATACTGTGTCTCTCTCTCTCTCTCTCTCTCTCTCTCTCTCTCTCTCTCTCTCTCTCTCTCTCTCTCTCTCTCTCTCTCTCTCTCTCTCTCTCTCAACACCACTGAGACCAACTTACCTAAGAATCCACAATCTCATCTCAACGCCTCTGTTATAACTTTCAAGAGTGAGAGGGAAGGTTAGTGAAAGAGAGAGTCTGAGTGGGTATATGAGAGGGTAAGAGCGAGTAAGTGGATGAGGGAGTAAGAGAGAAGTTGAGAACGTGTGAGAGTGAGAGAGAAGATGAGAGTGAGAGGTGAGAGAGAGAGGATGGGAAAGAGAGAGGATGAGAGAGTGAGTGAGAGAGAGGATAAGAGAATGAGTGAGAGAGAGGGAGAGGCTGGGAGAGCGAGTGAGCAAGTGAGAGGGTGAGTGAGTGAAAGGGTGGAAGACGTGTATTATGCACTGTAAAGGAGAAGGAAGGAAGGAAGGAAGGAAGGAAAAGTGGGGAGATTAGGAAGAAGAGGGAGGATAATTGGGGTGTTTGTGGGGGTGATGGCGATAGCAAAGGAGGTATTGGGATAGAGGTTTAAATATTTCTCCGACAAATTCTATCCTTGACTGCCGGCGTAAGAAAATAGAACAATCTATCCTCAACTCCATCCCCCGCTTTATATTCTATCCACGAATAGTTTAAAAAAATAATTAACCATTGTATTGTCAGTTCCCACCTTGTTCTTGTTGTTCTTGTTCTTGTTCTTCGTCCTTCTTCTTTCTTCCTTGTTGTTGTTGTTGTTCTTCTTCTTCAATGCAAATAAGCTTCTTTTCTATATTAGATAAGTGACTCTGTGCAGCTTCCACAGTCAAGACCCAACCTAAACCAGTCAAGACCCAACCTAAACCAAGCCTCTCACAGCATCGACATCACCAATGCAAAACGCTGACTCCGATTTTCCGGGTCCTTTAGTTCAGCTATGAGTCGCCACTACGCTAGATGTAGTCATATTGTTTACTGTACAAATATTACCTACTGGGTCTTGTAGCAAACTGTTGACTTAGATTGAATACGCATCCTTGGGTGTTGTTGACTTAGATTGAATACGCATCTGTTTTTTGTTGTTTTTGTGAGTTTGTGTGTGTGTGTGGGTGGGGGTGAGTGTGTGTGTGTGTGTGTGTGTGTGTGTGTGTGTGTGTGTGTGTGTGTGTGTGTGTGTGTGTGTGTGTGTGTGTGTGTGTGTGTGTGTGTGTGTGTGTTCTAAAGCCCATGAGAACGCCGCACGTGTGAGGTTAAAAGGTTGATGTCACCCCATGTAACCCAATAACCTAACCATCCACTACTTTCCTTCAGTTACATCATCTTAACCCACGACAAAACCAGGTGAACTGTTTTATATATACACACATACACATATATACATTTTAAGACGTTATACATATACCTATAAATATACATATACCTTAAAGACGTTATTAATTTACACTACCTCAAGACATAACAGAATCTTGGGCCGTTCTTAAGATTCCATGTGTACAATATACTGTATTAAAAAAAGAGTGTTTCTTATATAGTATGGAAGTTGTAATTAAACTGACGTGGGCAAGAGAGGGGAGAGTGGATGAGGTGAGGTAAAATATCCAGTTACTCGGTGTTAATTAACTCCTCTTATATAAATTCATGACATACATAATATATATACATTATACATAGCACATTGTATATAGTGATATGACAAGGTTTTAACACCCCATCAGATATGACTAAGTAAACAGCCACCAGACATGATTAAGTAAACAGCCACCAGACATGACCACGTAAACAAGTCATCCCTAAAGAGTTAACAAAATCTACATAAGATCACGACATGTTAGGGAAAGTTATTAAAGAAAATTCCATCAGGCTGGCACACACACACACACACACACACACACACACACACACACACACACACACACACACACACACACACATACATAAACACCTACACATAACACGCCATCTTATCTCTCCTATAACTCCTAGAACAAAGAGTCTCAGTGTAAGTACAGCGCCATATTAACCATGAACTCTTACCTTATTGTCTTTTTAATATAACAAAACACTTCCCCCAAAAAATAAATAATGATAAAATAATAATAATAATAATAATAATAATAATAATAATAATAATAATAATAATAATAATAATAATAATAATAATAATAATAATAATAATAATATAAGTACAAATTCCATACATTATTTAGAAATCAAGGTCTAGGAATACAAATTATTGCTTATTTGAACAACTTAACTAAATGAGTAAAAAAAATGGATGAAAAAATAACGTAAGTATCTTTTTTTTAAGAATCCAGAAGCCGTACAATAGACAGCGCTAAGTTACTGTCAAGAGGTTTATATCAGTGGTTCTTAACCTTTTTACTACCACGCCCACTCTAGGAATTGGTCCTTCCCTCCACGCCCCCCTTGCATCTATGAATAAATTCCCTGCCAGATTTAAAAAAAAATGAAAAATAATGTGTTTTTAGTCTTTTTATTGAGTATAAATTAGTGAGATACTTGACACTGCTTCTTAGCTACTAGATCTTGAATGCGTGGTTGAATGCCAGAGAGTGCATAACGTAAATCCCCTTCAACGTTCAGCCTGTTTCTGTATTTGGTCTTGACAGCAACGAGCGTGGAAAATGCAGCTTCACAAAGATACGTGGATCCGAACATAGTTAGAATCCGAAGAGCCTGATGTGAGATCAGAGGGTAAACAGGAAGGTAATTGACCCAGAACGTCTCAAGATCCAGTTCTTTGAAGTCTTCCTTAGCTGTGGATTCAACTCAAGAAACACCTCTTGCACTTCATCCGAAACATCAGCTACTTTACATTGAAATGGGTTCCTGATGAATTTCCAGGCTTCACGCTTCTCATCTATCTCTGGGAAGTATCTGATGAATTCTGTTTTCAAGTCAGTTAGATGAGTGATTATTTGTTTCTTTAACTCAGAATCAAGGTTACCGTGAATGAGCAGAATCCAAGTTACTAAAACTGGCTGTATTTCCCTGCTGAATTCGACCCTTCCAGAGGTCGAGTTTGGCCATGAAGGTTCGAATGGTGTCGTGGTGCATGATGATGTTGATGTTTTTCCCTTGTAGTTTAAGGTTGAGAGCATTCAACGCTTCGAAGATGTCCACCAGGTAAGCTAGAGATAGCTGAAAGCCTTCAGACTGGAACTTGTCATGGAGATCTGCCTTCTGCTTCGAATCAAGAAATATTGCTACTTCTTCTCGTAGTTCATAAAGCCGTCCAAGCATGTTCCCCTTTGATAGCCATCGTACGTTCGTGTGAAAAAGCAAGGTTTCATGTTCAGATTCCATATCCTTACACAGCAGTTTGAAGAGACGACTGTTTAAGGCTCCAGCTTTGATAAAGTTGACTACCTTGATAGCCACGTTCAGGACATCCTTCATTTCAGCAGGTAAAGTTCTGGATACTAAGGATTCACGATGAAGTATGCGGTGTGTACCTACAACAGACGGATTTTTTTTCTTTCACCATTGTAATGAATCCAGACTGCAGACCAAGAATGGCTGGAGCTCCATCAGTGCACACCCCTACCAGCGAGTCCCACGAAAGTTGGTTTTCCTGAAAGAAGTTTGATACATCATGAAAAATAGCTGCTGCTGTTGTACAACTTTCCATGGGGTGACAGAACAGCATTTCCTCTTTTACACTGTTGCCTGACACGAAGCAAGCATACATCAGTAGCTGAGAACACTGAGCGATGTCAGCCGTTTCGTCACACTGGATGGCAAAAACAGGAGAATCTCTTACTTGGTCGAGAATTTGATCTTTGATGTCTTGAGACAATTCATCGATCCTTCCCTTGACTGAATCGTTTGATAGTGAAATTTGGGAAAGCTTGTTTGCACTATCTTTCCCCAGAACGAGTTCTGCTGCACGGAGTATGCTTGGTTTTATGAGAAACTCTCCGATGTTTTGGCTCTTCTTGCTCTTTGCAATCAACATGGCGATCTCATAGGAAGCCTCAACAACCTTAGAAGTTTGTTGTCGAAATGCCCTACTGCCGTCCAACTTAACTTGCTTCAAGGAGTGTCTTTTTGTTTCAAAGAATGCCTTGAGCTTGTCAGCTAGAACAGGATGTGTTGTCCTCAAGTGGCGTTCCAAGCGAAAGGGCCGCATTCCATCATTGCTCCGAGTCTTGTAACACATCACACACTGAGGGACCTCTGTGTCACCCTTTTGGAGAGACACGAATCCAGTTCGAATATATTCGTTAAGATACTTCCGCTTCTTTGCACTCATTGCGAATTATTTGATGTGCAGTGGACAACACAAATCTGTGAACAAAACATAAGGCACGTGTAAGGTAAGATAAACATCACCACGTGCTCATGAACACCACAACATCATGACAATCACAACCACATGATCAATAACAAGCATATGATCGTAAAGTTCGTAAACACTACAAGTGACTACAATCATACATGATCATAAACACCACCACATAATTATTAAGTAAATATTAACAAACACCACAACATTATAGTAAACACATCATGATCATAAACACATGATTATTAAGAAACAAATCAATATCATCATAAATACAACTCTACCATAACCACCTGTTACCACCACATGATTTTTAGCACCACCAACTTCTGATAAAATACAAATGGAATTCAAAACTTGCGAATAACCAACAGAGCAACACATACGTGTTCACAATTCATCAATAAACTTATGGCTGCTTACTATTTTTAGGTAAATATAACAACTGGGATAAAACACACACACAGCCTTAACTGAATAAATGTGAGAGAAGAAGAATTATTGCCACGGACGTGTGCAGAAGACTGGGAGAGAACGGGGCTCACCAGTCACCAACGAGCAGTATACAGGTCCAGGACGAGTTATGGGTTTCAGGTCAATAGGACGAGTTAAATAGGGATAGGGAGGGGGGTCAATAAGCACAGAAAATGGTAAGCCCTAAGAGAATAAAAACAAATAAAGTAGCCTATAAGAACCACTGGTTTATATTGTCAACAAGGTGTGTGTGGTGGGGGAGGTGGGCAGAGATGGGAGGGGGATATGAGGAAAGACTAAACTGCCCTAAAAGCCTTGTAAATGTGTGATGATGGTGAGGTGACAACAGTGTCATTTACATAATTTATTACCTGGCAGACTGGGCTTGGCGAGGTGGTGGTGTAGGAGGGGGAGAGGAGGAGGAGAGAGGTGAAAGGAAGGGAGAAGAAGGGGAGGAGGAGAGGGGGGAAGATGATGATGATGAGGAAGACGAGTCGGGGGTAGGAGGGATGGGGGAAGAGGAGGAGGTAAGGAAAGAGCAGGAGTAAAGTAGGAGGAGGTAGAAAGGAAGAAACAGGAGGGGGGAGAAGAAGAGGAAGAATATGAGCAAAAGGGGATGAGAAGGAAGAAGAAGAGGAATTGGAGGGGAGGAGTGAGTAGTTTTCTTCCATCTCTCTTTTCCTCTCCCATCCTTTCTACCCTCTTCTCATCTCATAAATCTCTCTCTCTCTCATCTATCATCACTCCTCCCCTCTCCCGTCCTTCTCTTTGTCTCCTCTGTATACCCTCTTTTATCATCATTGCTTCATTCCCTCACTCCTTCATCTTTTCTCCTCTCCCTCCTATCCTTCTACGACACTCAGTTTCCCATATTCTTCCATTTTCCCCATTCCTTCTTTCATTCCCATATTCCCTCTCCTTCATTCCCCATTCACCTCCTCCCTCCCTATATCCTCCCTTCTTTCCCTCCCGCCTTCTATTTTCTTCCTTCATTCCTTCCCAATGTTCTTCCATCCCTCATTCCCTTTTCCACCCTCCCCATTTTTTCTTCGTTTTATATTCTCCCACCCATTCACCTGTCCTTACCTTACTCCTCCTAGTCTTCCTACCTCGTCTCTCCCTTTTCCTCCCGTGTCGTTACACCTCCTATTCTTCCTACCCCTTCTCACCCTACCTCTCCTCTCCATTCACCCCACGTTCTTACTTCCCCTATTCTTCCTACCCCTTTCTCCCCACCCTTTCTCTCTCTACCTCTTCTCTCCCTTTTCCCCATGTTTTCTCATCTCCCCCCAAAAAGTTTCAATTACAGGCCATTAGACGTAGGGGAGACTGCCATAAAACACAACCTCCTGGTGACCCGTCCCTCTTCAGACAAACTTTGATTAAAAGTGTCTGGCAAGTGTCATGTGAGAAGCTGCCGTCGAATTCCTGCCCCCTTAGAAACTTTCCTGTGTGTGTGTGTGTGTAGTAATAATAATAATAATAATAATAATAATAATAATAATAATAATAATAATAATAATAATAATAATAATAATAATTAACAGTTCATTAAGATAACATGGCAGCCCGAAGGCTGAAAATAGGCAATGTACAGAGATGATAAGTTACATATGGTGAAATCGGGGAGTGGGTCACTTGATTGACAAAATCTTTCAATACGAAAGCATAAGAAACATGGAGTTAACTTATAGATTAACTTTAGATCTGGTACTGTGGGAGCTGGTCTGTAGACATTCTTGTGACCTGATGTCGGCGCCAACAAAGTCCTTCCCACTATCTGCCTCAGTGCAGGAGGCAATGATATTGGCCGGCGTAGGGGTGAGAAGCTTCTTGATAAGTTCAAGACAGCTATAGAACGTATTAGGTCGAAGGGAGGGATCCCTATCATACGTGGTGTCCTGCCTAGAAGGAGAGTTGGCAATGAATGGTTTTCAAGGGCAGTTGGTGTCAACGGCCGTCTTGACAGATATTGCAAGTCAATATCAGTCCCATTCATTGACAACTGGGACAACTTTTATGGCAGATGGGACCTTTATGCTAGGGATGGGGTGCATCTGTCTGGCAACCCTGGCTGGCTCTCTCGAGAGGGCAGTTCAAAAGATGTTGAAGTCTTAAAACTGCAAGGAGAACATATGAGCACGGGGGGTGGAGGAGACTGCAGTGGGAGCGGGTAAACAAAGTGAAAGGTGCTAGGAATTATGGCAAAACTAAATTAGGCAGGGAGTTAAAACCTAAACGTGACAAAGAGAGGACTCAGAACACGACTAACTTACATGTATGCTACACAAGCAGTAGAAGTATGAGAAACAAACTGGATGAAATCAGGGCGTTGGTATGTACCAAAAAAATCGATATAATAGCGTTCACCAAAACATGGATAAACCTAGACTCACATGAGTTACCTGTCGAATACCAAGTTGCAGGTTACACATTATTCCATACTGATAGGAAGATTAGGAAAGGAGTTTGAGTCGCAATCTATGTCAGGGATAATCTGAAGTGTGAAATAAATAAGGAAATAAAAACTGAGTGGAATAAAAAACAATTTGGATATAATTAATCGATGGTAGGGAAAATTAATCACAGGAGTAATATATAGACCTCATAATCTTGGTACAGTTAATGAGCGACTTATTTGGGATGAAATGCGCAGAGCTTCCATACATCCAAAGTCTGTATTGTAGGCGAATTTATCTTTAGCCAAATAGATTGGATTGACCTTACGGGTAACTCAGAATCAGAGGATTTTCTTGAAACAATCCAGGACTGTTTCCTAAGCCAACATATAACCGAACCCACCCGGGGTTATAAGATACTCGATTTATTTCTGTCAAACAGAGAAAACCTCAATAGTAATGTCGAGGAAGGGAACGAACTTGCAAACAGCAATCACAAAGAAATACGATTCCAATTAAAATTTCAGGGAGGCCGCAAGGAAAATTCCACTAAGGTCCCATATTTCAGAAGGGCAAACTTTGATAGTTTGGAGAGGCAGCTGAGAGAAGGGGTATCATGCTTGGGGGTGAATTACATGATCTCACATGAGGTGACCTCACACAATGTACTCACAGAGGGCGACCTCACCTTACCTGGAGACCTGACGGTTGAGGATGACCTGATCACGAGATCTGAGGTTGACGAGTTCTATAATAATTTAAATAATGATTTACTTAATGCACAAAGGCAGAACATACCATACAGAAAACTCAGAGCAAACAACATTGATCTTAAATGGATAAATAATTATTTAAAGAATATTATTGGACAAAGGAAGGCTATAGGTAGGAGAATAAATCGTGGTGAAGTTTACCTCCGATATTATTATAAGGTATTGACTGGTAGGGTTAAGTCCGAGATAAGAAAAGCAAAGAGGAATAATGAACTGAAGGTAGTAAGGTAGGTGAAGTCAAACCCCAAGAGATTCTATCAAATGTATCAAACTAAAACACGAGAAAAGATTGGACCAATACAGTCAGATACCGGCGAGCTAACTGATAACCACGAATAAATGAGCAATAATCTGAATAAATATTTTTCAACAGTTTTCACCACCGAAAATTTAAACATGACACCTGAGGCACCGACTCTATACAGAGATAGTGAAGAAAATATATTAAGCGAGATAGTAGTGACTAGTGACGATGTTAGTAAGCAATTTGACGAACTAAAGCCTAATAAGTCACCAGATCCCGATGAGATATTTGCCAGAGTATTAAAGGAATGTAAGGAAGAGCTTAGTATACCCTTAGCAAAGTTGTTTAATATGTCCTTAAAAACGGATGTACTGTAGTACCAGAATCCTGGAGGATAGCGAATGTAACACCGATTTTCAAGAAGGGAGATAGATCACTATCCTCTAACTACCATCCAATCAGTCTAACATTAATTGTAGGCAAATTACTGGAAGCAATCATTTCAAACTATTCGAAATCACCTGGAGAAGCACAAGTTGATCAATGATTCCCAACATGGCTTCACAAGCGGGCGTTTATGTCTAACTAATCTATTAACATTCTTTTCATCTGTTTTCGAATCAGTGGACAAGGGTCCCTTACGAAAGACTAATAAGAAAGTGGAGGCTCATGGCATTAAAGGAGATATTCTAAAATGGATTAGGGTGTGGTTAAAGGACGGGAAACGGCGAGTGAGCATTAACGGCACTAAATCCGATTGGAGCAACGTCACTAGTGGAGTTCCCCAAGGCTCAGTACTTGGACCATTATTATTTATTATATACATAAACGACATAGATATCGGCATAGACAGCAACATAAGTAAATTTGCTGATGACACTAAAATAGGGCATGTAATTAAATCTGACGAAGGCTCTGCAAAACTACAGGAAGATTAAAAAAAAATTTCGAATGGCCTGAAAAATGGCAGATGAAATTCAATGTGGATTGTTAGTTACACGACTAGCGAGGTCATCCTAAAACTATATCTTGCGCTTGTGAGACCTCACTTGGATTACTCAGTTCAATTCTGGTCAC